TACTGCAGTAAATGCGAGGCAAGGTTCTGATTGGGCTGCCTTGACTGTGGTTCTTCTCTGACCTGGGCCATCCCATGCTTGCTGTTTGCAATGGGAGGGACGCTTCCGTTGATGTCAGTAAGGTAGTCTTTTCCCATATGAATAAACCAGGCAGTGGCAAACGGATCGGGGCCAATCAGTGAAAGAAAAGGGATGAGCTGCACTCTTTTAAGTGTCAAGTTGCAACAGCTCTTTTCTACATATGCTCTTGGGCTGTAATCCCATGCATGTTTAGTCAGATGCAAATCAACTGAAGCCAGTGGCACTTGCTCCCTAGTAAGTGGGTTTAGGATTGCTGCCTGAAAATGCTCCTTTGTCAAACCACCCCAAGCCCAGTTTTGTGCAGGTAAGCCCCAACCAGTTTCTGGGTTCTCTCCCGCCCTCCATGCTGTTTTACAGACTTAAGACATCTGGATGTGTCGTCATGGTGAATCTGCTTACCGGTGGGTCCTGGCAGTGGCGCGGCTTTTCTCCTTCGTTTGATATCACCCATACATAAGGATCCCAAATGCACACTTGTCTGTCTGTAAGCAATTACCAGAGAGATGTATTAATAACTGGTAGGAAAAATAACAACTCTGCAGAAGACTGTGTATCACAGAATCTGCTTCCTAGTCAAAATAGTTTAAATAAACATAGAGCTACACGTTGGAATCTTTCAGATACTATTTGTATTTCTAGTGCTTAGAGTGATGTTACTTATGTAGCCAAAAGGGCATTGGCCATACACTAGAGGGAGGTGTCAAAAAGACTTGGAGAAAGTCCAAAGTTTGCAGTAATACAAAACATTTTTTTTGGGGGGGGGAATCTAAGAGTGAGGACTGAGCATGCTCACTTGGCACAGAATACTACTGCGCAAAAAAATAAAAAGAAATTTAAAAACTGGTTGGGATAGAGAAAGGAATGTTATGTCTAGAATTCAGATCAGAAATACTCCACACTGCAATATTTTGTTGCAGGTTCCACATCCTGAAAATGAATTATGTTTATTGACAAGCAGCCAGTATTTAGAAACAATCTAAATCACTGCTGGAATAAATAAATTCTAAAAGAAATACTTTCAGGTTTTAAAAACTGACAATCTTTCTGAGTCAACATAAAATGAATACTGATGCTACTGACAAAGCAATAGGTAAACATACTTAAATGATCACAATATGATTGACTATCAGTTGTCTACTAATATCTGCTGTCAGAATAACATATATATATTTTAAAAATCAGTTAACAAGCATCTTTTCACAGGTGATAAACAAGTGGGAAACAAAACACTATTTTTAAATAGAACATTCTGTTGGCTTTATAATAAAATGGCATTGATCAAATTCAACAAAACCTGTAATGTGTAACATATATACATTGCAAAATCTTCTCTTTAATGTCTTTTTTAATTTAAAATGAGAAACACAATTGTTGATCACAACTTATCACATCTTCTAATTAAAAAATCCATGTTAATCATGCATTATGTGGAGCACTTTTATTTGCCTGTCCTGAAAATACTTCCATTTCATTGAATGATCCAGAGTTCTGGAACTGAAGAAGAGAGGCGGAATTTTTTCATAATCTGGTTTCCACATTGTTCATAACTTTATACATCGTTCTGAGAGGTTTTGACTCCTCTTCTTACCTTGGCACCCCAGAGATCATGGATAAACCTTGATTAGAGGGGGGTCTCATTACTCCAGCTTTACCAGTGGGACTAAATCCTCCCTATCACAAAGTACGACAAGGTAGTCCTGCCATGTACTGGATTATTGGGTGGTAAGGAAACTAAACAACTATGCTCCAATTCAGAGATCTATCTGGGATACAGTGTACACTTTTATTTCTGACTCCTAGGGTTATAGTACTGTTGTTTGGCTGAAAGGACAAAGACATTAACTTCAGGTAAGACAAGGCTATGAGAATCACCGCAGTTCAGAACTTAACCAAGAGATTCATTTCTTTATTTCTTTTTTTCAGAGACAAAAAACAATAAAAAGCTGCAGCCAAAGAACAAAATACCCCCAAATTAACACTTTCCCTAGCAAACATTAGGTAGGCAGTTTACACCTGACTTCATTAACAGATATCAAGAAGGAGGAGAAGTTTCTGATGTTTGTTTCTTACATCCTCTCTGAATCTTTGGCAGAAGTTTGGAAGTGCAGGAATGCAGCTTTTGCTCACTCCAAGCTGAAGATAATTACAATGACTTTGGTTGTAACATGCCTTCTATATTCAACCTATAGTGTGTGTGTGTGTGTTTGCTTTATGAAGCCTAGTGCAAGAGAAAGGTATCAGCAAACCTGGAGGAAACTTGAAGTCTGTGGAAATTCCTAACATCTGAAAAGCCCCTCTCAAATTTAGCACACACAAAAAGGTACAGTGGTGCCTCGCAAGACGAATGCCTCGCAAGACGAAAAACTCGCTAGACGAAAGGGTTTTGCGTTTTTTGAGTCGTTCTGCAAGACGAATTTCCCTATGGGCTTGCTTCGCAAGACAAAACGTCTTGCGAGTTCTTGCGAGTTTGTTTCCTTTTTCTTAAAGCCGCTAAGCCGTTAATAGCCGCTAAGCCGCTAATAGCCGCTAAGCCGCTAATAGCCGTGCTTCGCAAGACGAAAAAACCGCAAGACGAAGAGACTCGCGGAACGGATTAATTTTGTCTTGCGAGGCACCACTGTACCTGAAGTGTACACATGTGTAAAAGGCATACATGCCTTGCTCTAATTCATGATGCTTGCAACTTGCTATGAACTCGGTTTGTGCAGGGCGGGGGCATGAATTTGCTAATTTGTCATTAAACAAACAGGCTGAGGAGGGAGGGAGACACAGGACAGTACATGTGGAGGTGAAGGCAATGGAAAGATTCTTCCTCTCCTCTACATGAACAAGAAGGGAGGGGCCACTGTGTGTTTGTGTCTGTTTCCTGAACGAGACAGTCAGGTATCTGTCTGCTCATAGAGTCACCGTACAACCGTTTGGACTGGGGACCACAGTGTTTCCTTAATAATAAGCCAGCTGTCTTCTATCACAAGTCACGGTCTGAAGATGTCTAAACTGAAATATAAATTAGGCCAAGCTTTAAAAATAGGAGCTTGTAGATGTCTCAAGTTGGTCCAAAAGTGACTGTAGACCAGTAGATGAAGAATATATGAAATCTAATATAACTTACACAAAGAAACTAAGCCTCCCTCTCCTCTGTTCATAATATTATTGCAGGGTCACTGACAGCAAGGGACTTTGGGGCACAGCTCGTTCTATAATAGATTGCAGTGTTTGTCAGGGCTGTTATAATGAAGGGAGGCTGAGAAGCAATGGAAAGGAGGGAAACAAGAATTCAAGCAGGATGAAAGATAAAAATTAATAAAGTCAGCCAATTGAACCTGGAGACCCTAGCTCCAGGAATAACAGCTAGCTGTGCTTGAGTAATTCTGCTCACATTGATTATCTGTTACACTGCATTGAGATATCTAGATTATTGATCAGTTAGATTATGGAACTTGGATCCCCCCTCCCCGCTTCTCCTGTGGCACATGCAATGGAGTTGCAACAAATAACACTAAGTAAGGACTACTTTGTTATTGTTGTCACCCTTTGTGTAGAACATAGCAGTTACTTTTTAATTTAAAATCAATGAATGTCTGAAAGGCAGCTGTGTTTCTTCAGCATAAATGAATCATTTGTCTTTGCAAAGCTCAACAATCTGATCACTAGCCAAGGTGAGGTTTGTTTGTTTGTTTGTTTGCTTGCTTGCTACTGTTCTGAGGAAAAAAACTTAAGTTTTATCAACATTCTGAAAACAAGCATTATTATAAAGAATTAAAAAGCAATCACTATTATAAATATATATATATATATCCCATATGCTCTCAAAACAAGATAATCAGATTTGGTCAAGTTCAGAGTTTTAGCATTTAACTGTAGCTGCATTTAACACATCTTGAAAAGTGGATGAATAAAAAGATTAGCAGTTCTACTTTTTCATGCATAGCAAAAATTGTGGGAAAACGAACTTGTTATGCACACTGTGAGGCAGTGCCTCCAAATCGGAAGATCTCAAAGTTGGGATTTGAGAATCCCAACATGAGGTGGAAAGCAGAAGGGTGAGCTCATTCACATATCCAGTTGATCAGAGTCAAATGAATTCTATGACGCAGACTGCTTCATTTTCAAGCAGCATTATTTTATTTATTTAACAAAATTTGTATACCACTTGATTGTAAAAAGCCTCTAAGCAGTCTACAAAACTATAAAATCAAAACATTAAAATTATGATGGAAGCATAGAACTGTAGAGCTGGAAGAGACCTCCAAGGGAAATCTAATACAACCCCCTGCAATTCAGGAATCACAACTCTCAGGAACCCCTGATAGATGGCGATGCAATCTGTTTAAAAACCTCCAATGGCGGAGAGACCACTCACCAAGGCAGTCTGTTCTACTGTCAAACAGCCTGTACCATCTCAAATTATTCCTAATATTTAGTCAAAATCCTGTAATTTGCATCCACTGGTTTGGGTCCTACCCTCCGGAGCAAAAGAAAACAAGCTTGCTCCATCATCCATGTGACAACCCTTCAAATATCTGAAGATGGCTATTGTATCATCTCTACGTTTTCCCTTCTCCATGCTAAACATACTCAACCCCCTCAACAGTTCCTCTTCAGACTTGGTTTCCAGACCCTATATCACCTTGGTCACCTCCCTCTATCACCTCCCTATATCACCTCCCTCTGCACACATTTCGGCTTGTCAGTATCCTGGCGCCCACAAACTGTGATTCCCACCCAGTACTCCTGGTGTGGTCTGACCAAGGCAGCATAGATCTGGACACTATACTTCTGTTGATGCGGCCTAGAAATGCATTCACCTTTTTGCTGCTGCATCACACTGTTGACCCATAGAATCATGGAATTGTAGAGTTGGAAGGGACCACGGGGATCAACCTCTACGTTCAACCCCCTGCAATGCAGAAATCGTTCACCTAACATGGGGCTCAAACCCATGACCCTGAGATGAAAAGTCTCATGCTCTACCAACTGAGCTATACCTTGTGTTAAGCATGTGGTCTACTAAAAACACCTAGAGCCTTTTTACACGTACAGCTCTCAAGCCACGTGTCTTATATTTGTGCATCTAATTATTCCTAAGTGTAGAACTTTACACCTGTCCCTTCCTGAAACCCTGGAGATCTGCTACCAGTCAGTTTCAACAATACTGGGCTAGACAGGCCTATAGCCTGACTATGAAGCATAAGGCTGCTTCCTACGTGGTCATCACTGCTGCCTCTTTAAAAAACTTATTTGTTACCAGTTAAATGATATACTGATGTCCTTCTTGATCTCATGAAAGCTGCTATGGGACCCTTATTGGTGGAAAAGCAAGGTAAAATGCTTAAAATACATATTGGGAAAGAAGCTAAGCAAAATTAAGTATTTCTGTTTCTCTTGATTTATTTAATAAATGTTTCAATTTCCAAGCAGCAGGACAAGGCAAAACGGAAGAGACTGTGCTGCCCTGCCTTGGACGTTCCTTAGCTGCAGACTTGGAAGATTGCAAATAGCTAATTCCCCTGATTCTTCTCCACTTATCCATAGCTTGCTGCGAGCTATCATTTATAAATAGCGTTTTGGCAGGAAGCTAGGCATGCTCTATGGCAGGGGTGATAGGAATTGTTAAGACCACCTTGCCTGAAAACTTGGCTGCTGACGTGCTGGTGACAGGGACTCGAGCAAGCTGTGTCAAAGGGAATAATTTTAAAGGAAAGACAACAGAAACTTGTCGCCTCATTGTATGCATTTACAAACAGGGCTTTCCAGAGTATTAGGCCTAGTTAAAGCTGCCCCCTGGATAAAAAGTGTTCCCGAGCAGCCTCAGACGAGCTCGGGAGACAAACAGATGTGACTATGGTCCCTGGCATTTGGCAAGAACACTCACTGTCACAAAGAAAGATATAAGCCTGGACAGGGCATCAGCTGCACAACAGTGGAGCAGGCCTGCAAGTGTCACGGCAGCGGCAAAGTTGTGGCAGAAGGAAATAAAAGGGCTGGAAAAGCCAGACTAGTGTAAACTTACACTAGTAGGCCAAATATATATTTGTTATTGTCATGCCTTCTGACATTAAATGAACAAACAACAGAAGACGGGGAAAACTGTGGCCAATTCTTAATTTTCTCTCTCTTTTGTCTACAATATTTAAGCATGTCTTTTCTTGATGCAAGTAATTATAAGAACTGGAGGAATAAGAGAGTCTATTTTGAGACACTGGGAAGGCGGCGGCAGCAGCGGGGGGCTGCAGGAAAGAATTTGATGATGATATAAATGGAAATGTATTATTGCCATTAACAGCTATTACCATGTCATCAGGCAATTTTTAAAGCAGATTTACCAATATACAGCAGCTGCTATTTGATGGCAACATTTCCCTTGCTTTCTTCCCTCTGTTGAAGTTCTCCGTCCCTTACAATTTAATTTCACACCTTATTATGTTGCATGGCAAATTAATATTTCCTGTAACTTAACCATACAACTGTTGCCATCATTGTGCCCTAAAAGATTAAGAAAATACTCTGTTAAGTGAAAGACAGCATAAGGGTACTGCTGTCCTTTTCAGGGTCAAAAATTATAGAGCTGTAGAGTTGGAAGGGACCCCGAGGAACATCCAGTCCAAACCCCTGCAATGAAACAATCTCAACCTAAACATCCATGGCAGAGGGCCACCCAACCTCTGTGTAAAAATCTCCAAGGAAGGAGAGTCCACCATCTCATGGGAGTCTGCTCCACTGTCAAAAACGTCTTATCATCAGAAAGTTCTTCATGGTGTTTAGTCGCAAACCCCTTTCTTCTAACTTGAATCCATTGGTTTGGGTTGGTCGCCCTCCTCTGCACATATTGCAGCTTGTCAATATTCATCTTTAATTGTGGAGCCCAGAACTGGACACAGTACACCAGGTGTGGTCTGACCAAGGCAGAATAGAGTGGTTCTATTACTTCCCTTGATCTGGACACTAGACTTCTGTTGATGCAGACTAACAGCATTAACTTTTTAGCTGATGAATCACACTGTGTACCCATGTTAAGCTTGTGGTCTACTAAGATCCCTAGATCCTCTTCACATATGCTACTGTCAGGCCAGGTGTCCCTCCTCTTATATTTGTGCAGCTGGTTCTTCCTGCCTAAGTGCAGAACCTTACATTTGGCCCTGTTCTCCAATCTGTTAAGGTCATACTGAATTATGTCCCTTGTGGCATTAGCTGCCCTCCCAGCTTGGTGTCATCTTTAAATTTGATGAGCATCCCCTCAATTCCTTCATCCAAGTTGTTTATAAAGACAGTGAACAACAACAGGCACAGGACAGAACCCTGTGGCACCCCACTTGTCACTTTTTTCCAGGATGACGAGGAACTATTAGTGAGCACTCTTTGGGTTCAGTCAGTCAACCAGTTACAAATCCACCTAACAGTAACTTTGTCCAGCCCATATTTTACTAGCTTCTCTGCTTTACTTTCTTTCCCCCTTACATATGAAAAAAGGAGAGCAGGTTTCATCAATGGTATTTTCCTTTACAACCGCATTTGCAACTCTTCCAAACCCAGTTAGTTGTTCTGAACTAGATATCCAAAATATTATTGAACCATGTCTCAAGGGGTAGCTCCATTTGGGATTTCCACTGATACACTATCACTAGACATGCAGCTACCGGTGGAAAAAGAATTAAATCTTAATGCTGGATAGCTTTAGTGCACAAAACCACTTCCCTATTTATATGTTCTCTAGTAACTAAATACTCCTACTTCAAGTTGAAGCCAATGCAAGGTTTCTTTTAAATTCATTGAGAAAGATAGCATCTTTTTGAACAATTTATACCTAAGGTTGTTGTTTATTTCTTTTACACGTCACCTAGGTAGAATATCCTTATTAAAAATGGCAAATGGAAGATTAGTTCCCTTTATGACTTCATTGAAGTTCCACAGGTGCAACTTCTTTCATCATAGGGAAAAACCACACGTGCAGAGAGCGGCCCTGGTTTGGAACTCAAAGCCTCAGAAGCCTTTTTCCTCCAGCATATAGACTCCCTAACATAACCTGAATTTCAGAAGGAACTATTTCTGAATGGAACAATGGTTAACTCATCTGTGGAAAAAGAATACATGTGCCACTGATTCAGAAAGCTTTCACTGCATTGCATCTTTCTAAACCTGTTTAAACACTCTCTTTTATTTCATTCTTTCAAGCCGTGAGCTGATTTCATTCTGTACTTCAGTTTTAGGCTGCTGTTAACAAGCCTTTAACCCAATTAAAATCATGAAATTCTGTAGAAACAGTCACAGAATACTGGCACAGTATCAGTGAGCTCCTGCAGATGGCTGTAGAACCCTTTGGTTTATGCCTTTTGGATGCCGTTAGGTCATACATAGGCTTGGAAAAGAGCGAGTCTGATGGGGTCTCAGAAGGATAATGTAAAGTGGCTAGAGTTAAGTTCTTTTCATCTTAAGAATGACAGAAGAGCATTTTGGTAAGTGAGGGATTTATTTCGTTTTATAAGGTGCTATAATGCTACTAATTCAGAGCAGAAAAATCCCTTTAGGCATTTTAAAGGATGGCCACAAGTTGCAACATTTATGAAGGGCAATTACGTTGAACTGAAGGGAACTTCAGCACAGGCAAGTTTAGGACTGCACTGCAAGTATACTAAATGTGCAGCCTCCCTGAATCCCTGCAAGGGGCATAAAGTATGTACAATTGCATTTGGAATCGCAGACTGATGGTGTGTCTAATTTTGTAAAGTTGCCATGGGAGAATTTATACATGGTGTATAGATGTCTTACATAAATCAGTATGTATGCTCACTATTTAATACTAACTTTATGGGGGATAACAATTTGCACCCACATTCACCACTGATAATAACTGAGCATGGGAGGGGCACATAATTCCATGCCCACTGTACTTGTTTTTTTTGGGGGGGGGGATTTGACAAATGTGTTAATAGGCCCTTGGTATTACATAATTATGTCTACATTATGAAACTCAAATAATAGCATTCAGTGCAAAGTACCTTACAATGGAAGTGAAACTCTTGCTAACAGTATAATACATCTTAGTAGCAGTTTGCATTACTAAAGATGCTGTTTCATTTTCATTAATTACAAGCCGTTAAATCTTAACAGAACACAAAGGCAGGTTAAGCAGTGGAGTGTATTCTTGCCTTGCTCTCCATTCTCTTCCCTACACCTCTACTGTTTCCCTGTGTTTAGATCGTGCTTATATTGCTACCCCTTTAGCACTTTCACAAAAGACATTCTGTAAAGTTAGGAAGGTGTAGCAACTCATGCTTTCTTAAGTCGTGCAAAGGGAGATAAACCTAGCTACCCTTCTGTTTTTAAACGACCAACCAGAAAACCTCTGGAAATGAACAAGCTGAAGATAGCCACCTCCTTTCACATGCTCCGAGGATCTGTTAATATAGTGGGAATATTGCTTATTATGGTAAATAGCTTGTGAACAACGAGCAATTCTAGGAATTTTGGCAAGTGAAGATTTTGAGATGCTGCACCTGTGGAAATTCCGCCTCCTCCACAATCCGTTATTAAAGGACTCTCTCCTTTATTAAATGAGGGTTCCCCAGGAAGCCAGGATGGGTAAGTGTTTGGGAGTCCCTTCTGTACATTTCATCAGCAGCCATGTCTGAATGTGGTGCAAGCAGGCTCTGCTCTAGTTTGAGCTTGAGGGCTGTTGTTCTGCCAGCATTCAAGTCTATGGTTCACACAGCTCAGCAGCAGCCCCTAGTGTTTTCGTCAATACATCTTCTAAAGCATCTCTGTAAATTAGGGAACAAGAAAGGTCAGGGACCATCATGTGTTGGTTCTAAAGCCTCAATACAAAACGTTAGCTTTGTCTAGGAAGCGCAATGAAGGAATTAAGGTCTCAGGAGTTGACACAGGCCTTACGTTCGTGAAAACTGCTGCTGTTGCTGTTATCAGCATGGGTGATGTGGATCTGCGGTTGGACAGTAGCTACTGGTATGGGATGAGATAGATTCTGAAAGCCCTCAGAAAATCT